AACAAAAACACACACTCGAAATTGAAATGGACAACGTGCACGATGTCAACGAAAACAATCGGAATAATCGGGTTGACCCAAATAATGGAGTGATGGCACCTTTTGTGCCAGAAGCTGCTCTATATGATTGGGCACAACCAATTGTTGATAACTTAGCCACCGCTATTGCTCTACCTCAGATACAAGCGGAGATATTCCAGATCACCAACACATGCTGCATCTATTGCAAAATAAGGGACTGTTCTCCGGGTCATACATTGAAGACCCACAACAATATCTGAAGAACTTCCTATCAATATGTGTGACCCAAAGACAACCGAATGTGACTCCTGAAGCCATCAAGCTATTACTGTTTCCATTCTCTGTGACTGGAGAGGCTCAAACTTGGCTGAATTCACTCCCAATAAATTGAATTGCCACTTGGGAAGAATTAGTCAAACAGTTCTTAAACAAGTTTTATCCTCCCAACAAGACTGCAAGGCAGATTGATGAGATATTGCAGTTCAGGCAAAAATGAATTGAGTCCTTGCAAGAAACCTGGGAGAGGTTCAAGGGTATGCTAGTGAAGTGTCCACACCATGGCATTCCATATCAGATGCTGGGACAGAGATTCTACATGGGTTTAGCTGATAGTTTGAAGGCTAATGTAGATGCTTCAGCTGGGGGTGCATTTTTAGCAAGACATTCACAGAGTGCAAGATTCTTCTTCACAACATGGCTCAAAATTCAGGTTGGATGGCTAGAGGTACGACACTTACACCAATAGTGTATTCTGTTGCTCTTGACCCAAAAAATTCCCATGCAGAGAACATAGCCACTCTCATGACTCAGATGAGCATAGTGACAAAGAAAATTGATGAGATGGGTACAAAGCAAGTGCACATTGTTGATACAACGAATGGAGGATTGTGCACTCCTTGCATAAACCAGTCATATGTGTGCTCGTGGAGTGGAGAGAATGACAATTAGGGCTTCAGAGAAGACATGAATTATGTCAAAAATTTTGGAGGTCAGAGGCAAGGTGGGCAATAATGGGGACCAGCACCAAACCAGCAGTGCAGACCCAACCTGCCACAACACAACCCCAATTCTGGAGGCGCACGACCACAAGGTCAAGTTGTGTCTTTTCAAAGGTAGTAGGGCTATAATCAGAAGCACCAGCAACAGTTGGCCTACCAACCACCTCATCAACAATAGGACAACAATATGGTAGAAGCCATAGGTATGCTGCAACAACTCATTGGAACAAATGGTAAGATGCAAGAAAATTTAGCAGCACATGATTCAGCAATCAAAGTCATTGAAACTCAACTGGGACAGCTGTCTATGGCCTTGAACAATCGCCCCCAAGGAGCATTGCCTGCAGATACAAATATTAACCCAAAGTAACATAACCCAAATCAGCTAATGGCAGTGAGTCTCGGGAATAGAAGAGATTTAGACAGAGAGCAAGAAGTTGCTCAATTTAGGAGAGAGACTACGCCAACTACTCCAGTTACATTAAAGGCAGATGAGTCAGCAGAGCTCACTGAGGTTGTAATTGAACAAGCACAGGTTGACAAGGGTAAGGAGAAGGACGGTGAAGAAGTCTCAGAACAGGTGGTACCTTTTGTGCCAGAAGCTTCCAACAAAGAAAAGACATCAAGTAATGGACAGAGATTGATTCCTGCACCATTCCCTCAGAGATTGGCAAAACAAAAGAAAGATGATCAATACAAGAAATTCATGGAAATGCTTAGACAGATTCAATTGAATATTCCACTGATGGATGCTTTGGAGGAAATGCCAGGGTATGCACAAATGATGAAGGACTTGATGTCACGGAAATTTGACTTCCAGGACCTGTCCACTATAACTCTGACACAAACCTGCAGCGCGGTAGTGACAAGACCTATGGCCCAAAAAGTGTCTGATCCAGGTAGCTTCACTATCCCATGTACTATTGGGAGTTATGTTGTTGCCAAAGCATTGTGTGACTTGGGAGCCAGCATAAACTTGATGCCATTGGCAATCTATACGAAACTGGGCATTGCCAGAGCTAGACCGACCTCAATGTTGCTGCAACTGGCTGATCGCACAGTCAAAACACCGACAGGAATTCTTGATGATGTGCTTGTGCAAGTGAGGAAATTTGTATTTCCTGCAGACTTTGTTATTCATGATTGTTAGGTGGATGAAGAGATACCCATCATTCTGGGAAGTCCAGTCTTAGCCACTGGGAGAGCATTGATTAATTGTGAGACTGGAGAGTTGAAAATGAGGTTGAACAATGAAGAAATAATATTCAACGTTCAACAATTCATGAGGAGACCCAGTGAATTTGCAAACTGCTCACTAGTAGAGGCCGTAGATGTGAAACTGCAAGAAGAGGATGATACCCTTAATGTCAAGGATCCATTAGAAGCCTACTTGATGAATTTGGAAGAGATGGACGGTGAAGGGTTGGCAGAGTGGGTCATGGCTCTCGAAGGTCAAGGATTCTGGAAAAGGGAACCTCAGTTCGAGCCCCTACGCTTAGAAGAGAGAGTAACACCACCTGCAAAACCATCAATAGAGGAGCCACCACAGCTGGACCTGAAACCGCTTCCAGCCTACCTCAGGTACGCTTTCTTGGGACCTAATTCTACTTTGCCTGTTATTATATCATCTGGTTTGCTAGCTGTGCAGGTAGAGCAACTATTGAAGGTATTGCAAGAATGTAAGACTGCCATTGGTTGGACCATGGCAGACATAAAGGGTATAAGCCCAGCCTTTTGCATGCACAAGATTCTTCTGGAAGAGGGGCACAAACCTTCCGGGGAACATCGATTACGTCTGAACCCAAATATGAAGGAAGTAGTAAAGAAGGAAGTGATCCAAGTGGCTGGATGCGGGTATTATCTTCCCCATCTCTGACAGCCACTGGGTCAGTCATGTCCAATGTGTGCCGAAAAAGGGAGGAATGACGGTGGTACAAAATGAGAATAACGAGTTGATCTCGACTCGTATAGTCACGGGGTGGCGGATTTGCATGGACTATCGGAAACTGAACATAGCCACTCGAAAGGACCATTTCCCATTGCCTTTCATTGATCAAATGTTGGACAGGTTAGCTGGGCGGTCCACTTCTGTTTCTTGGATGGATATTCGGAGTATAACCAGATCTAAATAGCCCTGGAAGACAAAGAGAAAACATCCTTCACTTGTCCATATGGCATCTTTGCCTTTCGGAGAATGCCCTTTGGACTTTGCAATGCACCGGCTACATTCCAGCGGTGCATGATAGCCATTTTCACTGACATGGTGGAGGATATTATGGAGGTGTTTATGGATGATTTCTCCGTGGTGGGGGATTCATTCGAACATTGTCTTCACAATTTAAGAAGAGTGCCCAAAAGATGTGTGGAGACAAATTTGGTGCTGAATTGGGAAAAGTGTCATTTTATGGTGCAAGAAGGAATAGTTTTGGGGCATCAAGTGTCCAGTAAGGGAATTGAGGTCGACCATGCTAAAGTTAATGTGATTGAGAAATTTCCACCGCCCACTTCGGTCAAGGCAGTGAGAAGTTTCCTTGGGCACGCCGGGTTCTACAGGCGATTCATAAAAGATTTTTCCAAAATTGCTAACCCTTTATGTAAACTTCTTGAAAAGGATCAGCCCTTTGTGTTTTCTAATGATTGCAGGTTGGCATTTGAGGAGCTGAAGAAGAGACTGATAACTGCACCCATCATTGTTGCACCCAACTAGGAGCAACCATTCGAGCTCATGTGCGACGCCAGTGATTATGCTATAGGAGCTGTCTTGGGGCAGCGAAAAGACAAGATGATGCACCTGATTTACTATGCAAGCAGGACGCTCAGCGGTGCACAGCTCAATTACACTGTAACGGAAAAGGAAATGGTGGTTGTAGTGTTTGCCTTCGACAAATTCAGGTCGTACTTATTTGGTTCAAGAGTTATTGTTTATACTGACCATGCAGCAATTAGGTACTTGATAGCAAAGAAGGAGTCAAAGCCACACTTGATTCGCTGGGTTCTTTTGCTACAAGAATTTGATCTGGAAATTTGTGACAGAAAGGGGACAGACAATCAAGTGGCAGACCACCTCTCAAGATTGGAAGGAGCTGAAAAGAGAATGGAGGTTGAAGACATAATAGAGACATTCCCGGATGAATAGTTACTTGATGTGACAATGGAGGAGACGCCCTGGTATGCTGATATTGCTAACTATTTAGCAAGATGTATTGTACCTTATGAACTCTCCTCAATTCAAAAGAAAAGGTTCTTCTGCAACTATCGAGCCTTTTATTGGGACGAACCTCTATTGTTTAAAATTTGTGTAGATAACATGATCTAGAGGTGTATCCCCGAGAAAGATCAACCTTCTGTTTTGCAGGCTTGCCATGATTCACCATATGGTGGACACTTTGGAGGAATTCGGACAGCAGCAAAAGTGTTGGAATCGGGATTGTATTGGCCTACTCTATTCAAGGATGACCATGCTTGGGTCAAAAGTTGCGATGAATGCCAAAGGATAGGCAACATATCTCGCCATCACGAGATGTCAATGACAACAATTCAAGAGGTGGAGGTTTTTGACATGTGGGGGGTCGACTTTATGGGGCCATTCGTCAGCTCGTATGGTAACAAATATATATTGGTAGCGGTTGACTATGTCTCCAAGTGGGTCGAAGCAGTGGCTCTCCCAACCAATGATGCAAAAGGGGTAACAAGTTTCCTAAAGAAAAATATCTTCACACGTTTTGGTACCCCGAGAGCTATGATCAGTGATGGTGGAACCCATTTTGCAATAGAGCATTCACACGTCTGTTGGAAAAGTATGGAGTTCGCCACAAAGTAGCCACACCGTACCACCCACAGATGAGCGGGCAAGTTGAAGTATCCAATAGAGAAATTAAAAGTGTCCTGACAAAGACAGTGAATGCAACAAGGACCGATTGGGCGAAGAAGCTGGATGATGCATTATGGGCATACCGCACAACATTCAAAACTCCAATTGTTATGTCACCGTACAAGTTGGTGTTTGTAAAGGCATGCCACCTTCCGGTAGAGCTCGAACATAAAGCACTTTGGGCACTGCGGCAGCTGAATCTGGATATAGAGACTGCAGGCACCAGCAAAGTCATTGAGTTACATAAACTCGAGGAATTCAGGTTCCATGCTTTTGAAAATGCCAGATTATACAAAGAAAAGATGAAAATGATCCATGATAAGCACATCTTAGATCGTAACTTCAAGCCCGGAGATCTAGTGTTGTTATACAACTCGAGATTGAGGTTATTTTCGGGTAAGTTGAAGTCCAGATGGTCAGGACCCTTCAGAGTGGTGCAAGTGTTCTCAAGCGGAGCTGTGGAGATTGAATCCGAAGATGGGCCAAAAAAGTTCACAGTAAATGGATAAAGGTTGAAACATTACCTTGGAATGGTCGAAGAGAAAGGGGATAGAGTGGTGATAACTTTGAAAGAGCCCCAGTACGCGAACGAGGAGTGATAATGAAAGCATGCATCGTGCCGCGACATTAAATCAGGCGCTTCCTGGGAGGCAACCCATGGTTTGTTGTAAATCCTCGTGCCGCGACGTTAACTTAGGCGGCTTTTGGGAGGCAACCCATTATTTTTCTTAATTTGTTTATTGTAATTAATTTTGAACGATTTTGACCAACCTACTAGTGTGCAGGGAAAATATCACGCACATCAGAAGGATTCGGGGGTCGAAATTAACCCAAGACTAGGTAAAAAAATACGGCAAACACAAAAATTGGCTGGAGACGGAGATCCGCGGCCACAGATTGGACCGCAGATTTAGGCATGTGTTCTGCCCCTCATCTGTGGCTGCGGATTTTGGGACCCCCTCTGCCCAGAATTCGCGGCCGTGGATTGGACCGCGGATTGGGGCGCGGAAGCCCGGGCTTGTCCAGGTAAGTTGTTTTATTTTAATCCCCCACCCCCTTCTTTTCCTTAACCCAAACCCTCACTTCCCCCCACTTTTCTTCTTCCCTTCCTAACTCTAAGAACCCAAACCCCTCATCCCCTCCCCCCCACTTCTCTTCTTCCCTCCCTAACCTCAAGGACCCAAANCCCTCCGTTCTTATCAATATCTCCAAGTAAGTACATGATTTTATTCCTCTTTCTTAGTATTTTTTTTTTAATTTTATTTTCCTTTTCTGTATAGGGTAGTAAAATCATAGGTACTTTTGTTTAGGATTTGGATTGTGATTTATATGTGGTATATGGTGGCTATTTGAATTGATTGATTTGGAGGAAGCCATTGTTGGGTTTGATTGGGTCTTTGGGTGACTTGGGGGTACATATGCGCACTACCTGTTTGTTGATTTGCCTTAATGAGTGTTGAAGATAAATTATGACCAATTGTGCGAGTGAAGTCTGAGTAACCGCCATTGGGACACATACTCCTCTATCCATTGATAGTAGTATTTATTGTATATGTAAAATGCAACCCTCAAGGAAGAGACGCGATACCGGGGCCTCATCAAGTGGTCATAGAGGCTTATCTCGGGGATGGGCACAGACCAGTGCAGCTCGGTTTGATCGTACCAGGTTTGTCTCCAGAGCTGCCCAAGACCATTTCAGTTTAAAGGCCACTAAAAAGCCTGTACCGAAAAGGGGTATTGACAGGGCGTCCCTCTAGGATGAATGCCCTAATATGTATTGGGAGTAGATTAGGCACAGATTGGACAACTTTTTCAAAGAGCCAGAGGAGGTTAACTTGATTCTTGTTCGAGAGTTCTATGCCAACTTCCCCAAACATGAGGATAGAATATGCACTGTGCGACACACGAGCGTGGATGCCTCATTAGAAGCCATCAGGAGAGTGTATCGATTGCCTGAATTCAATGGGGAGGAAGATTTCTATGATACTTACAGGAGAGAACCCATCACATGGAACAGGTTTTTCAAAACTATTTGTGCACCAGACAAAGAGGTAGTGTGGGTTGTGCCGGGATCGAAGCTACACTCTTCCTCACTCACTTTTGAAGGAAAATGTTGGTTGTACATCATCAACAGTCGCTTACTGCCGTCCCACAACACCATGGAGGTAAATGGTCCAAGAGCAGCCTTGATATGGTGCTTCGTGAATGGCCACGACTTCAATGTGGCCAAGGTTCTTCAGTCTGAGATGTTCGTCCGTTCAACACATAAGAGGTATGGGTTCTTTTTCACCTCTCTGATCACTAGAGTGTGCCGAGCACCAAGGGTGCCTAAGAACCCAAATGCGGATGGCATGGTAAAGAAAGAAGCAAAGTTCCAAGCAGACAAAGTGACCATCGGGAAAGACCCGGTGGCACCAGGAGCAGCTCATAGTGACGATTCTAATGCGTCGGAAGAGGGCGACGAAAGGCAGGAGGAGGTTGAACCTGCCTCACCCCCACAGGAACAAGATACAGTGGCTGAAGGACCATCCCAGGTCAGACGGAGCACGCGAATGACAGCCCTAGAACAAGACATGGCAGGACTGCGCACTTCCGTCACAGAATTGGGGACCAAAGTTGATGCTTTGGCAACCCAAAATGCGAAGTCAGAAAAGAAAATCATGGGTTGGCTGCGTGCGTTGGGGAGAGCATGTCATCTCGACCCTGACACTGTCTCCGATCAAGACTGATCCACCAGGGAAGTTCCTTTACCTCACATTACTTTACTTTGTATGACATGGGGACATGCCATCTTTTTAAGTGTGGGGTGGGGGATACTTTGTTGTATGTAGATAGTTTCGTAGTTTATTTGTATAAATCAATTTCGACTTGGCCCAACGATAGATATCATTCGACGGGTTTCTTGAGGGACTAAAGTCGAAAGAAGAAAAAAGATTTTCTTTTGTAGTAGTGTATCAATTCCCCCTTGGTTTTTCTTCAAACCACGGTTCTTTTCTAAGGGTTTTGTTTGAACCGGGTGTAGTTAGATTTTTATTTTTTTTAGTTAGGAACTTATGGGCTATGGGCAGAATTAAAATAGGAAGCCTTGTTTGATTTTGTAATGCCTTGAATATAGCGGTTACTTTAGTGTGACGCTTAGGCTCATTTGTTGACTCTTGTAAGAAAGCCTTAAAATGTATGTTCTTAATTTGGCTGAAATACCCTGATCTGAGTGTTTGATGATCTAATCTGGAATGAGTCATGTGCCATATGTATGGGAGGCTTGTTATATTCTCTGCACAACATTTAACGCCTAGAACTTGCCATGTATGTCTGCAAAGCGAAATGGGAGTCTTGTTTAGTCTGGGAAGTGATATAGGCATTTCTTTATTGAACCATATATATACATATTCCACCCACCTATTTGTTATGTACCATAGTTAACCCCGTTGAGCCTGTAATCCTGTTTCCTTGGCAACCACATTACAAGCCCTATCCCTTGTTTGAATTGACCATCTTTTTGAATCCTTTACCTCTCGTAAGCACTGGAAATATTATGAATTTACAAAGGATAAAGTGTGGGGTAGTTGATGGAGCTTTTGAGTGGAACTAGGAAATAAGGAGAAAGGTAAATCTTGTTGGAAAAGGCCACTTGGAAAAAAAAAAGAAAAAAAAGAGAGAACATTGTTAATAGTGTATCATGTTGATTGGTAATAAATCTTTGGTGGCTTTTAAGGTGATTGTGCTCAAAGAAGAAGTGTGGGGTGGTATATGTGGTGTTAAAAAAAATATAAATGAAAATATTGGTTTAACTTAGGTGTGGACTTGATTGTAAAATAAATGTACTAAAGTGCTTAGGGAGGTATAGTCACTATTATATATCCAAATATATCCTACACAACCTACAACCTACATTACATCCAAGAATGAGTGAGCTCAATTAGTAGAGTCGTACACTACAGGCAAGCCTATAGTGCGTTTTCTGTGGCACAAGAATGTCATTTTTGAGGGTGAGTGAATTTTATTCCTTTTAAAGTTCCTAAGTGTGTGTGAATTTTACTGATTGTGAAATGAGTCTCTTTTGTTATGAGCAGGCACTTGATTCATGAAGGAGAGGTAAGTCTCGACCTTTGATACAGAGTAAGTAAGTCGGTTAGGAACATTGCGTGGCTAGAGGGAGTCAACTCTTGAGGTGTAGATGTTGCACTAATGTACTCAATTTATGTGAAATATTCTTGGTGTGACGAGTAGGGAAATCGCCCAGTGAAGCCTCTTAGAGTATGGTTTGATTGCTTGGAGACGAGCAATGGTTTAAGTGTGGGGTGTAGATAGTAGGCTATATTCATGCAATTTAGACACTACTGACACTCAAATTTAGCCGCACTTTATTGATATTTGAATGCTAAAAGATAACAAAATGCTTTAATTAAGAATTTGATGCTTTGCAGGAGCTACTTCGAGTTAGGAGGGAGCTAACGAATGTTTTAGAGTCAACATGGAATGTGAAAGGGCAATCGAAGGTTAGCCCGGTCGAAAAGGAGCAAGAAAAGTAAGCGAAACGACCCCTCCAGGTGCGGGGCCACAGAGTGGGCCGCGAACTCAAGGCAGTGAGGCAGTCCAAATGCACGATCGGATCCGCGGTCGAATCCGCGGCCGCGGACGGGCGGACGAAAGCCAAACATACAGGGTTAATTATGTAATTTCCTAGGCGACTAACCTAAACCTATATGAAAATTAACTCGCCTAGAAGTGGGAGATAGCCGTTTTTAGAAGATTTTAGAGGCAAGAACGAGGGGGAGAAGACGAAAAAATTCCTAAGAGTTTTCATCTTCTTCTTGATACTTCTATTTGTTGATTATGAATTATTTTAGTGATTTGTTTTTCATTAGCATGAGTAGCTAAATCTGTTATCTAGGGTTGATGGAACCAATTGTTGGATGAAGTCTTGACTCTATTTTGTTATAATTGAGCCGTGTTTGTTCTATGATTGTTCAATTACGTATTGTATTGTGGTTAATTGAAAGGGCCCTCGATTAATCGTGTCTATTCACCTTGTGTTGCTTGAGAAAGAACACTTGGTTAGATTGTTGTTGAACAACACCACTTTGGAGGAAATTAAGAGATTAATTACTTGAATTTAAAAGCGGGGTTAGAAATAACGAAGCTTTGGTGGGATGATTCTGAGTTGCATAAATTGTTAACTAGAGTAGTTCGAGAGAATGCTTCCAGTAAATTATCGTAATTGATCGAAAGGTAATTACGGTAGCCCGGAACTCATAATCCTCATAGTGTATTACAACGAGATTATAGCTAAAGAGTTGAGAATTAATCAAGCAATTGGGGAAATCAATAGCCCTAGATCCCTTTACCCTTGAATTCAATTTTAGTCTTGATTATTGCTAATTTTATTGTCATTTTTCCTTGGCTAAATAAATTCCACTGATTATTCATAAAACTATTGCATTTGGAAGTTGTCTGAGCTTATCATTAGCATTATTTAAGGTTGTAGTAATTTGGTAAGTTCCCTACG